TTTTTGGCTCACTTTGTAGCCCAGGCTGGCCTCAAACTCAAACAATCCTTCTGTCTCAGCCTCCCGAGTGCTGGGATTACAGGTGTGCGCTACCACGCCTGGTTTACATTCCAACCCTTTTTATGGTTTATTTTGAGAAAGGATCTTTCTAGGTGGCCCAGGCTGGTTTGAATTGAGAACTCTCTTGCCTCAGGCTCCCAAGTGCTGGATTAGAGGTGTATACCACCATGCCCAGCTAGATTCTATCTTTCTCTTCCTTTCACAGTTCAGTTCTGCTGTGCTCTCTAAAGATACTTGTGATACTTAATCTCTGCTCAGTGCCTCTGACTGCTCTATCTCTTTGGTCTTTACCAGTCCCGTGGGAGTCCGGGCTCAGGGACGACCCAGGCTCATAGGAAGCAGCAGTGTTTGGGCCTGTGCAGACAGTCTGCTTCCAGGAACTCCCTCTCAGCAGGATTCAGAGACTCATCACGAGTCCCCAGACACTAATAACTTGTGGGGGTGAGGCTGTCTCCCATACCAGAATCTAAAAATGCTTATTCTTTTGAACTGCTGCAGTGCTTCATTGTTTAGAGTACTATAATCTATCCCACCTTCTAATGGCTTGTTCTTAATTTTTCTCTATTGTAAATCATCCTACAGCTGGATGCAGTGACATGAACCTGTAGTCCTACCTACTGGGGAGGCTGAAGCAGGAGGGTTACTTGAAACTAGGAATCTGAGGCCAGCCCGGGCAATGTAACAAGACCGTCTCAAAACAAAACAAAACAAAACAAAACCTTATGCTACCTTGAACACTCTGGTACCTATATCTTTGTTCATTTCATGAATCTATCCCTGAGATACAATCTTAGAAGGGGGTATGTGCATTTTAATGTTGTTAAATGTTGCCAAATTGCCCTCCAGAGCATGACGATAATTATACCTCTGGGGCTGATGGTGTCGCTCGGAGGTAGAACACTTGCCTACCATATACGCAAAGTCCTGGGTTCAATCCTCAGCATGGAAAAAAAGATTATACTTCTGAGCCAGGCATAGTGGCACACACCTGTGTCGCAGCACTTGAGAGGCTGAGGCAGGAGGATCACTATGAGTTTGAGGCCAACCTGGAAAACATAAAGGGACCCTGTCTCAAACACAAAGATTATACTTCTACCAAAAATGTATGAGACTGCCAGGCATGGTGGCACACGCCTGTAATCACAGCACTCGGGAGGCTGAGGCAGGAGGATCGTTGCGAGTTCGAGACCACCTGGGCTACAAAGTGAGCTCAAGGCCAGCCTGAACTGCATAGCGAGACCCTGTCTCAAAAAGACAAAAAAGAATGTATGAGACAGTCCCTCTCCCTGTACTTGTACCCAAACTGATCAGTACCAATGCTTATTATTGTTCAGTACGTTAACTTCCATTTCTTTATGAATGAGAGAGAACAGTTTTGACAAATCCTTATTGATTGCATGGGTTTCTTCTCTGCATTGCCCATCCATGGTCTTCAGCTGTTTTGACCTGTGTTCCTTCTGTCTTTCACTGACCCGTCGCAGGGGCTATTTGTTTATTAAGGACACTAACCTTCCATACGCTCGGCAAGTGTTTTTCTCCCAGCTGGCCATACATTTTTAAACTCTGTGGTGTCTTTTCCACTTGCACCCTGACCTGGGCGCCCGCGAAGGTCATGCTTCTCATCGATATCGAGCTGGCTTACATGAACACCAACCACGAAGATTTCATAGGCTTTGCCAAGTGAGTGCTTCCTGGGTGGTGAAGGGGGCCCTTGGGTGCACCTGGGTCTGTGTGTGTGGAGTCCAGGGCGGCCAGGTTAACTCTGAGCGGTGGCCACGGGAGCTGGACCTCTTGAGAAGAGGTGTTGAGACCCCGCCCCTCCATCCTATTAGTGCTCAGCAGAGGAGCAACCAGATGAACAAGAAAAAGGCTTCCGGGAACCAGGTGAGTGTGCCCCCGCACCCCAGCCCGAGGGATGGAGGGTGCCGGACGGACGCCGAACTCTGAGAACCCCTTCCCGAAGGGCAAGGGTCCCACGGGGCCAGGGAGCCTGTCATCTCCAGCCACAAACCTCCCACTCTGCCTCAGTAACCCTCTCTCCTCTCTCCCGATGCTTCTCGTGGTTGCTATGGTTACCTCTTTGCAGGATGAGATTCTGGTGAGTACCAGGACTGGGGCTCGGGGCTTGTGCAGTGAGGGGGAGGAGGGGGTCCACCAGAGGGTAAGAGGGTGCCTTTTGGCTTCAGCTGCCTGCACACGCCAGCACATGAGCCTTCCACACCCGCTCACGGGCCCGAGCAAGGCCTGGCCAAGCGCACAGCCCCATCTGCCCATCCATCCGTGTGCAGGGGCCAGGCACCGCATCCAGGCAGAGCTAGGCTGTGTGGGCGTGGCCTGGCGCTAGGTAGGTGCTCCTCAGCCATCTGTGGATGGACGGCCGGGTGAATGGATGGGCACATGGCTCTGCGAGAGACATTCTTAGGAAGCTGACAGCCCCTCCACCAGAAAGCTGAACGAAGAGATGAATGCGAAGTCAAGACAACCCCGTCTCACTGGCCCCCTGCTGTCTGTCTCTCAGGTGTCTGTAGAAATCTCGAATCAGAAGCCCCCGCTCCACACCAGTTGTACACAGGAGCCCTAGGCCTCAGCGTTAGTCAGCCCATGAGTTCCAGAGACTGTAGATGCATCGCAGGAAGCTATGCCCTTGTGTGGCGTCCATTTCCCTCCCAGAATGCACAGGCGAGGCTGGGTCTGTCTGGTTCACCATGGAATGGTGGATGAATGAGTGTAATGTCACAGGGCAGTTCTGCTGATACTGGGGCGTCAGGCAGGGCCTCACTGAGAAACCCAGGCAGGGTGGAGTCTCCGTGCTGGGGTAGGAGCTGGGAAGAAGGGGGCCTGGACAGTCCACATCTGAGCCTCTTCTGTCTGCCTTCCTGGGCCGGGGTCAGAGATCCTAGAACCACACCATTGTTGCATTCACCTGTTCATATTACCACGTACTGTCTGCAGGGAGCTGGGATATACTTGTGAAACAGGCAGTTCATGATTTAAGCCAGATGTGATGACACACACCTGTAATCTCAGCGCTCAGGAGGCTGAGGCAGGAGAATCACCTTGAGTTCAAGGCCAGTCTGGGCTACATAGTAAGCTCAAGAGCAGCCTGAACTACACAGCAAGACCCTGTATTAAAAAGAAAAAAAAAAAAATACACACAGAGGTATATTAAAGTTGCAGTCATTGTTATATAGAAGATCTAAGAGAGTGATCAAAGATTATCACTACAAGGATTGCAATTTACACTGGGGCCTTCCTGGCAATGGAAATGGTGAGCTGGTACCCACAGCCTGATCTAGGTATTTGACAGGTGAAAAGGAAGGTGTGCTTTCTAGACAGAGGCAACAGCAGCATGTGCAAAGTCCCCAAGGTCAGAAACAAGTCTTAGACTAGATTAGACCTTAAGCTTAAACATACTTGGCATCGTCTTGTACAACCAGCTGCAAAACTGTTCTTGCTCAGGTTTAGTATCGGGAAGCTCATCCCCTACCAGAGTCGCCAGTCCCTCACTCAGGCAGAAGGCTCTGTACCCTGAGTTGCACTCTGCCTCCTCTGTCTTCCTCTCTGTTCCCCTGGGGGGCAAGCAGGCAGGCCTGGCCCCCACACACCCTGACCAGCTGGCCTCCGGGCACTGGGGGGAGGGGCTTTCCATGCCTCTACTTGTCCACCCCTCCTCCGCGGGGAAGCCCAGGCCCCGCGTACTGACCTCCTCCCCCCTCCTGCCCAGGTCATCCGGAAGGGCTGGCTGACCATCAACAACATCGGCATCATGAAGGGGGGCTCCAAGGAGTACTGGTTTGTGCTCACGGCTGAGAACCTGTCCTGGTATAAGGATGACGAGGTGAGTGGAGGGGCCACTGCCCATCACAGACGTGGGCTGCGGGCATGGGGTGGACCGGAGCAGGACGGAGGGAGACGCATGGGTGGAGGTGAGGCTCGGGGACCAGTAGTGAGCAGTGCCGGGGGATCTGGGGGAGGTGCCCTGTCCCCCGGTCAGCAGGAGAAGGTGGCCCGGCAGAACGGGGGATATGGGGCTGAGCACCCCAGAGAGGGTGGGCAGGGACGCTGGGTGCCCCTCCCTGCCCAGAGCCCAGCGGCCTTCCTGTTTTCTCGCTCCAGGGCGTGCCGCCTCCTCCATGGCCCCCACAGGCCATGACACGCACAAGTCCAGCTGCCAGACACCCAGTTAACCCCTGCACCCCAGCCCCCTAGGTCCCTGCTGTCCAGAGGAGCCGCACAGGGTGCTCCTAGGCCAAGGGGCAAGGGGTGATGGTGCCCTGCAGAGCCACCCCGTAAAACACCTCCCCGCCCGCCAGGGCGCCAGGAAGCCCCTGACACCTCCCTCCCCTGCTGCTGGTCTCCTTTAAGAGTGAGTCTGTTTGGCTTCCACATCTGGATTCCAGAGGTGACCAGAGAGAGCGGGGAGGGTTGGGGGTTGTGCTAATGAACTCCAGCTGGCCAAGGCGTGGGGGAAGGGACCCTCTTCTTCCTGAAGGGGCTGCTGGAGATAGGTGCTCTCAGCAGGGCAGCAGGGCTGGGATGGGGTGATTCTGCTCTCTGTGACCCCTTCTTGGTCCCTGTCTCCTCCAAGTCTGCCCTGGGCAGGGTCCCCACCTTCCCGCCTTGGGTGGGACCCTCTGTTGTCACCAGCAGGGGCGCCAAGCCATCTGGACCTCATTACCCCAACCCCGGCCTCTCCCCCAGCCTGGGGGCCCCTGAAAAGGTGGAGGCCTGAGGTGGCGCGGGACACGGGCTTGGGTTTGGCTTCCTGCTCTGTCACCCTGGCGGGCTTTCTGGACACCCCCATGGATCTGGGGCTCCCATATCGGGGTTGTTTGCACAGGGCCAGAGGGATGGTGTGACCTGGGACCAAGGGCCATGCCTGGCCACCCCAGGGAGGGGTGAGCATAGCTGAGGGGTTCCCTGTCCTCATGCCCTAGAGCGTGGGTCTTTTTGGAGCCCTGTGTGTGCCTTTGAGCTGAGCTGTGTATGAAAACTGGCCGAGCAGTGTATGTGGGGCCGCTTGTGTGCGCGTGTACCCTGCAGATGTTGGGCATCAGCATTTTGTAGGTGGACGCCTTGGGGTGGAAGCACTAGGTGTGAGTGTGCGCTTGCGGTGTGACTCACGCTGTGCGTGCGACGTCTGAGTGCAAGGGGAGTGGGTGGGGAGTGGGCTTGGGAGGGAGGCTGTGACTCTGGGATTTTTGAAAATTCGGGTCTGTGTTTGGGATAGGAGGATGGGGGAGGGGCCGGCTCCATTGTGAGGCTATGTGTGTCTGGGTGTGTGTGCACGCGCGTGAGCATGCACTTGTGAGGTGCGTGTGTGTCTGAGGTATGGATGTGAGCTTTAAAATCTGGGTGCACAGATAAATGTGCCCAAGCTGTGTTGGGGTGAGTGTGAGGTGTGTGGGCGGGGTGTCCGTGGATTTTTTTGCTAAGACTACTGGGGACCTGGAGGTGGTCCAGGCTGGGGGGCCGGCGTCCAGCCTCTCCCTCTATCAGCGGCCTGCCCTCTGGTCTTGGGGTGAGGTAGGCCCTCAGGCAGACAGACGGCTGCCCACACCCCCAGCTCCCCATGACCCCTGTCTTCTCTGTCTCCCCCCCCGCCCACCCACCATCACCACCAACCCAGCAGGGAGGTACCCCCATCCCTCTGCGCCTCCTTCCCACCCACCCTGTGCCCCCCCAAGCCCCTGGCTCTGGCTCCGGGCTCCGGATCTGGGATGGCAGGCGGGGGTCTGTCCAGCTCTCCAGCGGCGGCGCCGAGGGTCTAACCCAGCCCAGCCTAACCAATGTGCAGACTACTGTACAATTTGGGAGTCCTGAACAGATAGTCTAAACACTGGGTAGACGGAGTGGAGGTGTCCTCTGGTCCATGCCGGCAGCAGTGTCTGTCCATCCATCCGGTGGGAGCTTCGACCCCATCCCCTGGATATCCGAGGCCCCCCAGTCCCAGCCTGTGTCCTCCCAGCCCGGCCAGCCGCGGTCCCTCTCTGCTGCGACTCCCCTTCTGCCTCCTTTGACGTGGCAGGGGTGAGCGGGAGCTGGGCTGGGAGGAGGGGCCTGGGGAGGGGGCCGGCGGCAGGAAGGGAGGGCTGGGGGAGGAGGCCGCTCCCACCTAGTGTCCAACCCCAAGCGCAGGCGGCGGCGGTGGCGGCGGCGGGGCCTCCCTCAAACGGTTCCAGATGTTCCCTGGCCGTGTGTGCAACTTCCTCCTCTCCTCCCCCAGCCGTCCTCTGGGGCTCCCGGCCACCCGCCTGGCATAAAGAGGGCTTTATGTGGCTGCATGGGCCAGGCGGGTATGGGGGGGGCCGAGGGGGTGGGCAGGATGACACTAGGATGGAGGGGCAAGGTCCCCCTAACCCAGCCCCCAACCCGAGGTCCTGGAGGAATCTCATGCCTGAGCCCTTGGAGGCCCATGGACTCCATCCCTCCGGCACAGCTCCAGGCAAGCACGGTGTGCGAGCAGCAGGAAGCCCTCCCTGCTCCAGAACCCCATGTGGGTTACCGACAGCTTCCCAGGGTCCCTGAAGCCCCCTCAGGGACACAGCAGCCTACAGCCACATCTATTCCCGGGCACACAAAGCCCCTTCCGCACAGCTCGAGATAAACCAAACGCATCGAGCCCCTTGTACAAACTATACGCAGGTGTCCCGGGCACAGGTTCCCCGGGACACCCATGCCACGCAAGGCATGCACAGTTACCACGCACACCCACAGGGTGCACAGACCTCCACCGGATACACAAACATGGCCACATGGACACCTCCCTGCACATGCTTGGGACACACACACAACTCCAGACCTGTGCTGTGTCTGGCCACGACCAGCTGGGTGGCCGGGGGAGTGGGCGGGCAGCCTCCCTTCTCTGGGTCTGCAGTCCAGAAATGAAGTCAGGGGCGACCAGCCCCGGCTGAGAGAGGTTCCGGGGGCTTGGTCCCTCCTGGGGGTGCGTGGCACGCCTCTGGCACTGTTAGGGTGGGATGTGGGAACCACCTAACCCCACGCCGGCCCCTTGGGCACTGCCCTCTCTGTGCAGGGTGGGTGGGTCTAGCTTGAAGGCCGTACAACCATCGGTGTCCAGGCCAGCCAGGGCCCCACAGTCAGGCCTCAGCAGGCTGGCGCGCAGGCACCCTCCGGCACGAAGCACACTTGGACACGGAGGCATGACGGTGCCAGCCTCACCCAAGGCTCCTGTCTCCAACCGCAGGAGAAAGAGAAGAAGTACATGCTGTCCGTGGACAACCTGAAGCTGCGCGATGTGGAGAAGGGCTTCATGTCAAGCAAGCACATCTTCGCCCTCTTCAACACGGAGCAGAGGTGCCTGCCCCCACCCCCGCTGGTAGATGCGGGGCGCACAGTCCATGCACTGGGAGAGGGACCTGGCCCCGGGCTCACACCGAGCCGTTCGCTTAACAGATGTTACTGAGCTTCCACTCGACGTGGTGTCTAGAAGGCCGTCCCCCTTTCCACTCCCTTCTGCCGTTCTTCCCTCCTTCCCTTTTTCCTTTCTTTGTTTCCTTCTTTCTTCCCTCCCTCCTTCCATTTTTCCCTTCCTCCCTTCTCCCTCTCACAGTCACTTGTTAGTGCCCAGTCTGCATGAGAACCTCCGCCAGGCACTGCATAGCAAGACCCTGTCTCAGAAGGACCAAAAAAAAAGAGACCTGGGCAACCTCATTCCCTTTGGTGTTGCCCAGGTGCCCATTGGGCCGGTGGCAGGACCAGGCCTTTTGCCTCCCTGTCCCAGCCCCTTCTCTCTCCTACTTGGTGCAGGGGGAAGGTCCTTAGAAAGCCAGACACAGGGCTAGTGGGGGGTCTTCACTGTCTTACGGGCGTCCCTTTATGGCAGTTCAGTCCCTTTCTAAGCATTTTACTGCTCATTTCATTGAAGCCTCCCAATGGCCATGGGAGATAGCAACTGCTACTTTGTTGTTGTTGTTGTTGTTGTTGTTTTGGTTTTTAGAGACAGGCTCTGGCTGTGTAGCCCAGGCTGACCTCAAACTCTCAGCAGGCCTCCTGCCTCAGCCTTCTGAGTACTGGGATTGCAAGAGTGTACCACCACAGCCAGCCTGGAACTGTTACTAACCTATCTTCCACATGAGGAAACTGAGGCCTGGAGAGAGGACTTTCCTGGGCTCCCATGATTAGGAAATAAGAAAGTCAGGGCTGGACCCCAGGCACAATGACCCCAAAGTCCAGGCCTGCCCTCAACCGCCAAGGAGACCAGGACTCCGCCCATATTCCCTCTCCACCCACCCTGTCTTGCAGGAATGTCTACAAGGATTATCGGCAGCTGGAACTGGCCTGCGAGACACAGGAGGAGGTGGACAGCTGGAAGGCCTCCTTCCTGCGGGCTGGAGTGTACCCCGAGCGTGTTGGGGTGAGCGGCAGCCTGGGGAGGAAAAGGCACCACCCTCAGAAATGCCAAGTCATGCCACGTCTCGCGGCCCTTCCCTGGCTGGCAGAGAGCTGGCGTCCCCCTACCCCATGCCTGCCCTGGGGCGGGAGCAGAGGGAAGCCCTGGCACCCCGCCCTGTGCAGCAGCAGTTCCGTGAGGTCCCTTACCCGCCGTGTCCACACCCATCAGATGATGGCAGTTTCCAGCGCAGCCCGCTTTCTCCCCTTTCACTGGGCAGTGTCTAGTTGCCTCAAAGTTGGGGTGCAGGGCCCAGGTGTACTCAACGCCTCCCCGTTTCCTCTCTGTTCCTCTCGGTGTCTGCGCCCCTTGTGATGGTGCCGGTGGCGCTGACGGTGTGCTGGCCTCTGTGGCTCCCTGCGGCCCTCCCAGGACAAGGAGAAAGTGAGTGTGCCCCTCCTTTGCCTCCTGCCAGCTACCACCAGCCTGGCACCAGCTCGGCCCTGGTCTTCAAGCAAGGCATCTTGGAGGTGTCCCCCTCTAATGACTACATTGGGAAACTGAGGCAGTTTCTAGACACTGGGGTCAGAGCTGAGACAAGGGCTACGGAGAGAGTCTGGGGCCCTGAGACACGCAGGGTGGCCAGACTGAGGTCCTGGGAACAGCTGGAGCCTGAGCCTGGCCACCCTGAGACCCTTCTGTGCCACTGGCAGGCGAGTGAGACTGAGGAGAATGGCTCGGACAGCTTCATGCACTCCATGGACCCCCAGCTGGAGCGGCAGGTGGAGACCATCCGGAACTTGGTGGACTCGTACATGGCCATTGTCAACAAGACTGTGCGGGACCTCATGCCGAAGACCATCATGCACCTCATGATCAACAACGTATGTGCATCTGGGGGGGGCGGCTCTGGAGCCAGGCCTGGGAGATGCTGGCCAGAGCCCATCACGGCCAGGCGGGAGGCCAAGTCCAGACCAGAGCTGCCTTGGAGAAAAAGAAAGTGGCTTTAGTCTATAACTTTACATTTTATAGTAGCAAGACCCTGTCTCAAAAAAAAAAAAAAAGTGGCACAAAAGATGGAATGTGTGCATTTGGAATGAGGAAGAGTATTTCGAGGAGGGTTAATGGCAGTGTGTCATTTACTGCAATATTTTTAATTTAAACATTCACCATATTTTGCTATCACACCTTGTGAAAAGGTGGCCCAGGTATGTAGTTTCACAGGAAGAGTTTGCAGTTAGCATGCCCGAAGCCCCAGGTTCTGGGTATGATCCCCAGCACCACAATTCTTTTTAAGAGGCTTAATTTTAATAATGTATATTTTAAGCCCAGGATACCCAAAAGTTTATTTTTCAACATGTAACCAGTCCAGAAAACATTAACGTGATATTTTACATACCCCTTTTCATACTAAGTTTTCTAGGTCCAGTTCAGACATTGTTTCCATTGGAAATATAAATTGAGATTTCATGAAGTTTACAGGTGAAGCCCGGGAAGCTGACGCAGGCCTGTAATCCCTTTGCTCAGGAGGCTGAGGCAGGAGGATCACTGCGAGTTTGAGGCCAGCTTGAACCATGTAGCAAGACCCTGTCTCAGGAAAAAAAAAAAAAAAAATTTAACCCAGCCCTACACATAGAGACACATTTCACCCAGTCCAGGCACACATTTACAGCTGTTACTCTTTCTCGGGGGCTCACATTTTAAACTATCAGCTTCCTTCCAAAACTGAGTAGGCAGGTGTCCTAGTAGCATTCGAGGTTCTGAGCCACCTCGTAACAGTGGCCTGGATCGTGACTTTTCCTCTCTGGGTGTCAGCGTCGCCCGGCGGAGAAAGCGGGTGGGAGGTCTCCGAGGTCAGGCGCAAAGCTGTCTAACCCCAGGCCAGCGCACGGTCCAGCAGGGCCTGGTGGGGTGGGCAGCTGTCAGGTCCCGGCCCCATCCCCTCTTTGCCTTCCTTCCTCAGACCAAGGAGTTCATCTTCTCGGAGCTGCTGGCCAACTTGTACTCGTGCGGGGACCAGAACACGCTGATGGAGGAGTCCGCCGAGCAGGCGCAGCGGCGCGACGAGATGCTGCGCATGTACCACGCGCTGAAGGAGGCTCTCAGCATCATCGGCGACATCAACACGACCACCGTCAGCACGCCCATGCCCCCGCCCGTGGACGACTCCTGGCTGCAGGTGCAGAGCGTACCGGCCGGACGCAGGTACCAGGGCCGGTCCCCACGGCCCCAAAGCCCCCCAGCCCGGGGCCCGCGGGAGGAGGGCCGGGACCGGGCAGTGGCGCGCCCGCGTCACCGGGGTGGCTCCCACCTGGAGCGAGGGGCGGAGCTTAGAAAGGGGCGGGGCTTGCTGCTGGGCGGGGCTTGCCGTGGAGCGCTGGCTGCGGGGCGCGAGCGGGAACACTGGGGGCGGGGCTTGGGCTCCGGCATACACTTAGTGGCGGGAGGGGCGGGGCTTGCTGCATGGGCGGGGCCGGCACTGGGCTGGGGGGCGGGGCCTTGCGCCGGGCCGGAGAGGCTTATCTCGCTGTTCCCGGCTTTCTGTCGCCCGCAGATCGCCCACGTCCAGCCCCACGCCGCAGCGCCGAGCCCCCGCCGTCCCCCCAGCCCGGCCCGGGTCGCGGGGCCCTGCTCCTGGGCCTCCGCCTGCTGGATCCGCCCTGGGGGGGGCGCCCCCCGTGCCCTCCAGGCCGGGGGCCTCCCCTGATCCCTTCGGCCCCCCTCCCCAGGTGCCCTCGCGCCCCAACCGCGCCCCGCCTGGGGTCCCCAGGTGAGTAGGGGCTGGAGAGGCCTCCAGGCGGGCGTGGCCGGGAGGGCGGTGGAGTGGGATCTAGAGCCACAGCCCGGCGGGCAGAGCCGGCTCTTTCCGTCCCCGCTCCCGGGACGACCGAGGGCCCCGGAGCCTGCCCCCAGGGAGCGCTGAGTCCCGGAAGCAGTCGTTTCTGGGCAGGAGGCTATGGGCTCGTCCCACCTGCCCCTTTCTTTTCAGCACTTGCATGGCGCTTCCCTCTTTTTTCCCCCTTTTTCCTCCCACACGTTGCGTTTCTCCTTTCCCCTTCTCTCTCCTCTCTCATTCCTTTCCCAACTCCTTTCCTAGCCCCTGGCGACTTCCCTCAGGTCTAGGGGTCAGAGCCCAGATCTCTCTGGACGTCTGGATTTCATTCAGTTACCTCCAGGGGCTGCCTGATGCCCCACTCCCTGGCCCGAACTCTTTCGAGCTGTGCACGTGGTGTCCAGCCTCTGGGCTGTAGGAACAGAGCCAGGCTGTGACTGCGTGACCGCTGTGAGGTGTGTGTGAGCTGTGTGAGGTGCGTGTGGGCGTGCACACGGGTGTGAGTGTGAGCGCGGCACCCAGGCATGGGGTAGGACAGGGAGCAGCTGGAGAAGGGCCTGGGAGGCATGGGTGTTCTGTGGCTTTTCCTTCCCTTTGCCTCTGGCCCGGCCTGGCCTGGACCAACGAGGTGGTGTGGGACTGGGCAGGAGTAAAGACTGTCTCATTCCCAGAGATTTCCAGAGAGAAGGGATACTATTTTTTCTTCTTGCACCGCGCCCCCCACCACTGCCACACACACAGTGCTGGAGATCTAACCAGGGCCTCCATCACGCAAGGCAAATTCCCTATTACTGAGCCGTCTCCCAGTCCTGGCCTTGCCCCGCTGAGCAATGCCTTTCAAGGAAGTTCACTCCCATGTCTGACTCAAGTCTCCCTGGCTTGCACAGCCCGCGTTCCCTGAGGAAGAACACGTTAGACCAAGAGCATCACTTACGTTTCCAGGTGGCTGGAGGGTAGGGCTGTGTCCGCAGGACTTGCCCGTGAGGATGATGGGCAGCATGGTAATGGTCAGGGACACGACTGGAAGTCCAGATGTGCGGGTACATCCTGGCCCTTTAAGCTACATATTGTCCCTCCTAGAGCCTCAGTTTCCCTCTGCCTGCCACATGATTATCTTCTGCTTTTCTCCCATGGTTGGTGTGGGGACCCAGGGACACAGTGGTTAGTGGCTGTGCGAGCACTTTGCTAACCGCCAATGTAAGTTCAGACACTTCGGGTGTGTGCCAAGTTGTGACAGGTGGGAGCTATGATTTGATACCTGCTCTGACTCCGGTCTCACCAACACGAGGGAAACAGCCGGCAAGTGGAGCTGAGGTCCTGCCGGGGAATGAGAGCAGCCCAGAAGAGAGCAGCTCTGCAGGCAGCCTGACTTCAGTGGGATCCAGGGCATGATGGAAACAAGGCTCAGGCGGTGCAGAATGGGAGGCCATTCCATAGGCGGCAGCAGTCCGGGCAAAGCTTTGGTGAGGGGTGTGTGGGAGAGCTGCTGGCCAGGCAGAGAGTATGGGTAGAATGAGGAAGACATCTGTGTGCGGGTGGGCAGGTTGGAGAACCTTCAAAATCCCTATAAGACTTGTTGGGATTCAAGGGTGTAGGCAGTAGGGAGCCACGGGAGGCTCTGGCAGAGAAATGACAACCAAACCCTAAAAAGTAACCCCAGTCCCTTCTGGAGCAGTGCGGTGGCCCTCTGAGCACACCAGGCACAAGTGTGCAAGGAGCTGGTGCAAATGCCTTCTGTGTGCGGGCCAGCTTCCATGTCGTGACAGCCCACGCGTGTGCTTCCGTGTGCCAAGTGGCTGCATGCCCCAGATCCATGCTGCACGCGCCAGCCAGTGAGGGTGCTGGGCACAGGGCGGTGGGGGTGGGAGGTGTATGCGTGTTCGTGGGCATGTGTGTTAGCGTGTGCATGCAGGGCCACGGGGCCTCACTGCATATGTGTGCACGCCTGGGCGTGTGCGTGTGTCCCCTGCCCCCCAGGCCTGCCCCACTCGTGTGCATGTGAACTGCCCTGTTGATTTCATGCTGTCTTTCAGAATCACTATCAGTGACCCCTGAGGAGTGTCAGCCATGGTAGGTACATGCTCTCGGCCTGCTGCATGAACCATGTGTCTGCCCCGCTGCACCAGCTCCACCTTCGGGGCACACCTGGGGACCGAAAGGCCAGGCCACCCCCTCCCTTCTGCAGCTCCACGCGCCCTCTTCTTTTCTGTCCTCTGCCAGCTGGCTCTGTCCTCCTTCTCAGTGAGACTCGGGACTCAGCGCCACTGCCCATGGCCTCCATGAATGAGCCAGGGGCTCTTGGGACAGGCTCCCTGCCCGACCTGGTAGACAGGTTGCTCTCTGGAGCCGCCAGAAAGGCCAGAGAGCTCATGGCTTGTGGTGTAGGGGCTGCGAGTTCAGAGGGGCACGTGCGGCTGGGATCTGTGTTAACTAGAGACCTGGACCCTCACCTGGGATGCCACACCTGGTCCCTAGTCTGAGCCCTGCTGCTGAGGCTGGACATCCTGGTCCCAGCCTTGAACTCTGGGAACCAGGCAGGGGGACAGTCAGGCAGCAATTGAGTGGAGGCTCTGGTTGTTTGATGATTTCTGGAAGCCTGGGAATCCTGTATACACGGTCGGCCCACAATACACTTCACAGTACTCAAAGCAGGGATACACAGCCCCTTCCCCACCTCCTCAGTATTGTCGTATCTGCAACGAAAGGCTGTGTCCTCAGCTCCAGGTGAGGCAGCGAAGCTACCCTGCATACTCCTACAACTTGTCTTGTTGCTCCTAGGGGGTGACTGTGCTTTTCAACCAAGAGTACAACACGGGTTGCTGACCTGAGCCCGTCAGCTTCCAGAATTCCACCCAGCCAGGCCACAGAACTCGCCCAGGGACCCCGTGTGATACTCCCCCCCAGCCACTGACTCTTGCTCTTCTGATTTTCCCCAGCAGGAAGGGCCCAGCCTCACCTACGCGACCTGCAGCCCCCCGACCAGCTGAGGCTCCCCTCTTAGACTTATAAGTCTGGTCCCTGGCATCAACTGCTGCCCCTCCAGCCTTCCCAGGGTCCCCTCTGCAGACTCCTGGGCTTTCTGACCCCCAGAAGGGCCTCCAGCTCTCTCTCCAGCTACCCCTTTTAGATTCGCCCTCCTGGCTCCTGCCGTCTTCTCCCTCCAGCCTGGCAGCTGTTGTGTGGGGCTCTCCCAGACTAGGGGTGGCCCTGGCCAGTGGGATCGAAGACAGGGCGACCACAGAAGAGGGAACTGGGTCTGGAACTGGGTGCACTGCCTGGTGATGTGTGAGGCTGCGTGTGTGGCAGGGGAGGGACACCCCAGCCTGTGCCCAGATTACCGGGGAGCTCCGGCCCACCGCCATCAGCCCCCCCATCCTCCCCCGCTTTCCCATCTGTCCCTCCACCTCCGTGTCTCTTCCAGAAGCCTAGACCGTGCCCACACTGCCTCATCCCTTCCCGCTGCCGCTGGGGTGCGGCTGCTCTCGCCTTACCAGCTCTCTCCTTCCTTTTCTCTCCCGGTTTCTCTCTTGGCTTTCTCTCCAACTGCCAGCCGATCGGGTCAGGCAAGTCCGTCCCGTCCTGAGAGTCCCAGGCCCCCCTTCGACCTCTAAACAGATCCCTCCTATTCCTCGGAGACCTCCCTAAAGCCTGCCTGGACGGCTGTTCTGTGACTTGACAGTGGCTCCCCGGCCCCAAAGCGTCCCCTTCATCTGTGACTTAGTCTGTTGTAGTGGTGAGCTGACACATCCAGGCGTGACGTTGGTGAACTCTTGTGCCCCTTGTGGTATTGCTCCAGCCCTTATCTATAAATATCTATAAATACTCATATATATATATATATATACATACATATATACATATATATGGCCAACACAGCCTCGCCTCTAGTGTTGGGAATCCACCACCATGCTGTCCTTGTGGAGTCTTGTGGCCCAACTACAAGGGAACACTGTCACCGACACCCCCTCCACGGTGTGCCACCTGCAGTCAGCCTCCCTGTCCCGCTTGGCCTGTGGAGAGCCAGCCCCTCGGTCATCCTTCCGTGTCCTCCCCACCCAAAGCATGGGGGCGCTGCAATGACAGCTGCGTGGTTCTCTGACCGCCACCAGGCTTGCTGTCTTGGCTGAGAATAAAACCTGTACTGGACGATGGGGAACCTGTGTCCACGGCTGACTCATGTTCACTACAGCGCACAGGGCGGGCGGCTGGAAGGAGGGTGGCTACTGGCAAAGCACCCGGAAGCCAGCTTGTGCGCAGGCTGTGAAGCCCCCTCTGGCCACTAGGGGGCCAGGTCTCAAATTCTGCTTGGGAGGGGGCGGGGGCGGGGGCGCACAAGGGAGGCCAGGATGGGAGGGGCCGGCCCCCAGGGATTGGCAGGCCAGGGGAGCAGGGCCTGTTAGACTCGAGGCTGGCACACCGGACCGGATGGTCCGTGTGGCCCCCGTGGTGGTCTCCTCACCATCATCAAGGACATACGGCAGATGCCACACCGTCCTGCTGGACAGGCAGAGGCTCGGGTTTCTCACAGCCCAAGCCCTCCCTCTGCTGGCAAGACCTACAGGCGACCCAGGGCTGCAGACGAGGAACACATGAGACCAGGCTGTATGACTAAATCCATTTATTCCAAAGGAAAAGCAAAATAAACAGGAGCCGCATCACCAGGGCACCACAACCCCGTCCCCGTCTCCTTCCTCTGTTCTCTGCTACCAATAAATAAGTTTCCCAGCCCCAAATAATTATAGAACCTCCCTCCTGATTCACTAGCTCCAGCCTCTGCTATGATACAGGGGGCGGCCCTCCCCCGGAATATACAAAATGTTACACAGGTACAGTATGTACACGGGGGCGGGAAGCCCACCCAGCAGCCTCTGCCCTCGCTGGGCCTACTGCACCCCAACTGTCATAAGGCCTTGGAGAACGCTGCCCCATTGTCCTGCCCGAACGTGCCTCAGAGGCAGGAGCCCCTGAGTGAACTGCTTCGCTGACTGCCTGACTGGCCTGCAGGGGGCCCCAGCTTCCAGAGTGCCTCAAGCACGCGGCCTGGGGCTGGGCCAAGGTTGGGGCTGGGCCGGGCCGGGGCCAGGGCTGGGCCCTCGCCTCCCGCGTGCCAGGCCATAGGCTCCATCCACAGAACACAAAGATGGAGCACGCCTGAATGGAGGGGGCCCGGCCAGGCCCCACCCACCCTCACCTGCCCACAGGGAGCCCCACCTGTGCAAAGACCTGGCAGATGCTGCCCACTGTCGTGCCCCAAAGCGCCCGGGTGAGAGAATGGGGGTCGCCCAGGGAGGGATGGCGTGGCGAGGACGAGGAGGCCAGCAGGAGCCCCCGGCCCTCCGGAGGAGGAGCAGCCGCTAAGTAGCTGTGAACCTGTGGCTCTTTAGCTGAACACAGTCCAGAAAACGAGGCTCGTGCCTGACCAGTATGGCAAAGGGTCTGCACCTGTCTGTGTCCCCAGTTAGACAGGGGGTCTTATCTTTTTTTTTTTTTTTTTTTTTTTCTTTTTACTTTCTTCAATTTTTTTTTAAATTTTTTTTAACTTTTATCTTGAAAAACTTTTTTTTAATTTTTTTAAATTTAATTTTTTAAAATTTTTTTAGTTTCTCTTACTGCTCTAAAGATAGAAAGTGGCAGGGACTGAGTCGGGGGGCTGGGGACAGCCCCGCCTCGCTTCTCTAGGCCTGGCACTCCGTCTCTTTAGATCACCATGATCTTCACCTCGTCGTTCTTGTCCGCCCGGTAGAAGAAGGGGATGCAGGGGTTGCTGCCCAGGCCTGGGCGCTCCTCGGGGTTCTGGATCTCACGCAGCAGCTGCATGATCTGCCTCGCTGTGGGGTTCTCGGGGGCGGAGCCCGGCCCAGCCGCTTCCTGTGCGGGCTCGGTGCTGTCGGCAAGGCTCACCTCGCGGAGGTCTTCGGAGAGAGCGAAGGGGTCAGTGCTGTGCTGCCGCCCCACCCCTGCCCTTGCCCTGCCCCCCAGGGCTCTGCTCACCACCCTGCTCGGGCACAGCAGCACCAAGTTCTTGGGCGTCTTCGGGTCCCGGAGCGGGCTCCTCAGCGGGGCTGTGGGCAGCTGCCAGGAACCTGCCCTGCCACTCGTTGCGCTCACCCACGAGCCTCAGCACCAGCTCCTGCAGCTCCAGCAGCTTCACCTGGAGGGAGAGGTGCTCAGCGCCTGACCAGCTGCACACCAGCCCAACCGGCTGCGCCGTGCTAGGGCCCCACCTTCATCTCTTCCTTGTCCTGGGCCAGCCGGCTGATGTACTCCTCCTTCTCCCGGTGCCGCTCCTTCAGCACCGCCCTCTGATTTTGGTAGAGCGCGATGTACTCCCCTGCGGGGAAGGGCACAACATCAGGGCTCCCGTGCCGGCTCCTGCACTGCGCTGCCGGGCCCTGCTGCCTTGGACCCTGGCCCACTCACCAATGGTGTCCGTCTCCCCGGAGAGCTGGATGCAGCGATGCTCCAGCTCGTCCACCCGCTCCTTGAGCTCTGCCTTCTCCTGCATGACCTCCAGGAAGCGGCTCTAGAGCCAGAACAGCGGGGTCAGATCTGTGGCCACCCGCCCTCACCGCCCTTCCTGGCCCATCCCATCGGAACAGACTCACCTGCAGCTTCTCCATGGCTACCTGTAGGGCCCAATGGCTCTCTGCAGACACACTGTCACCTCCGCTCCCAGGGGCCAGGGCCGCCTTCTCAGGCTCACCCTGGGATGCGGCTGCCAGGTGGGCGAGGCGCCGGCACTGTGCCCTCTGCTCCCTCAGCTGCCCAAGCAGCCGCACCTGCTCTTCACGCGCACTGGCGAGAGCTGCATTACAAAATGCCACCTGCAGGAAGAGGGGTGTCTGTGCCAGGGGACTGCTCAGGGCCTTGGAGAGCATCTCTCCTTCCTAGGGCAGTGGTGTCTGACCACTGGCCTCTGGGGAAGTTGTGCAGGGGGTGGGAAAACCAGAGAACTGGAGCGTCCGAAGGGACCACAGGGAGGCAGGGAAGGTGGGACAGGGAAGGGACAACAGCCCCGGCTCACCATGGCCTCTCGGCTGTCTAAGTCCTCTGGGATGGTTACATCGGGCAGAGGAGCCGCCGCCTCCTTGTCCTCCTCGTCCACCTCAGCTCCTGTGGGAGCAGCCAGAGGGTCCTAGCCCACCTCTGCTGCCTCGTCCCATCGCGTCCCCCTGGGCTGCCCACATCCCCCCTCCATTCTCTTTTGGCCACGAGTCCTCCTCGGTCTCCTCCCTCCCCACAGCCTCACTCACCTCCCTCAGGCGGGGCCAGGAGGCTGAGCTGGGCCTGCAGCTGCCAGTTCTGCTGGGTGGTGGCCTCCAGGCGCTCCTGCCGTCAGCAACAAAGTGAGCAGACATCAAGGGGGCTGGGTCCTCCCACCCGGCCTCAGCAGCTCCCGGCCTCACCTGGGTCTCCTGCAGCTCCTGGCGGGCCCTGTCCTCAGCCGTCTTGCCCTGCATCTGCTCGTGCTGCAGCTGGTCCAGGAGCTGCGTGTGCACCAGGAACTGCCTGTGCAGCGCCTCCTTCTCCGAGCTCACCTGCTGCCATGCCGCTGCGTACTGCTGCAGCTGGGACAGGAGCTGGTCTCGCTGCTGCTGCAGACCCTGTGCCTCCTGGTTCTTCAGGTCCATCTGCAGAAGACGCTGGGTATGAGTCAGGGGATGTCCTGCTTCCCACTTCTGACCCATAAACAGTGGGGACAGCCAGAGGCCAGGCCTTCTACTGGCCTCACACCTTGGAACTGTCCTTCCCACCACTTGGACTTTA